AAGCTCATTAAGCCTTGGCCAAAGATGGAAGTGGAAGAGGACAGATTTGACTTTATAGTTTGTATTTACTACAGACTGAGTTCTCAGTTAAACTGGAAAGGACACAATTATAAATTTATAATCTTTAAGGGAAAATCTTACTGGATGTCCATCCATAATACTTTTCTGACACAAATGATTTATTATATCCCATATTTAATACATAATGTTAAAACTTAAAACATATAGGAATTAAATTAAGGACTAATCAAGAAGAACCAATAAAACCTGTATTTTATAGGTGTGATCTCTCATCACTCAAGAATGTTTATTACTACAAATACACATTTTTATTTTTAAAGGCACTAGCCATTACTGTGCTTTAATCTTTGCCAGACACTGTTTGAAGCATGAATTAACTAATGTAACCCCACAATAATCTATACCATAGGTACTAATATTTTCATCTCTTTTAAAATGAGAAAACTGAGGCACAAGCTATTGGTCTCTCAAGGTGAAGTAATACATTTAGTACCAAAGTGAATACTCAGAAACACAAGACATTTTTATAAACTTTAAACATTTATCTCTGATATTTAACATAATATAACACATAATATATTAGAGAATAGGAAATTGAAGACTAACAATACCCCAGATATTTCTACCTGAAATCATCATTGCTTAAAATCATAAAACACTCAAACATGTCAAAGTTGAATATCTTTTTTGCCTTACCAGGCCATATAAAAGCATGGTTGACTGGTGTGAGTTTTATATAATTTATCCTGTGTAAATGACCAGAATACCAGGAATAAAACAAGACTGCTAGAAGAGGAAACAAAATAATAAAAGGTAGACAATCAAATATTAAAACTTGATATTTTATGTACATAATATATGTAGTTTATTTCATATATTGCATTTAAAGTCAGAAATCTCCAAAATATCCATCAAAAGTAGAATAAATAAAATTGTCATATTTATATGTTGGAATATTGTTACACACCTATAAGACTGAAAGAATTACAACTGTTAGAAACTACTGTAAAACTATTATAAAAACTTTATTTTGTGTTACAAAAGTCTGGATAGTTGGAAATGGTGCTGGGAAAACTGGAAATCCACATGTAACAAAATGAAATTAAAACTTTCTCTTTCACCATGCACAAAACTCAACTCAAAATGGATCAAGGACCTAGGCATTAAACCAGAGACTTTGTGCCTAATGAAAGAAAAAGTAGGCCCAAATCTCCATCATGTTGGATTAGGTCCTAGTTTTCTTAATAAGACTCCTATAATACAAGAATTAAAACCAAGAATCAATAAATGGAATGGATTCAAACTAAAATGTTTCTTTTGCTGAGAAGAAGCTATCAATGAAGTGAACAGAGAGCCTATAGTGGGAGAAAATCTTTGTTTCTTTTGCTGAGAAGAAGCTATCAATGAAGTGAACAGAGAGCCTACAGTGGGAGAAAATCTTTACTAAAAGCACATCAGATAGAGCACTAATCTCTAATATATAAAGCATCAAAAACCTTCACACACACAAAAAAAGAATAACTCAATCAATACATGGGCCAAGGAATTGAACAGGCTTCTCAGAAGATGATATACAATCAATCAACAAATATATGAAAAAATGTTCAACATCTCTACCAATTAGAGAAATGGAAATCAAAACTACTCTAAGATTTCATCTCACCAGTCAGAATGGCAGCTATTAAGAATATAAACAACAATAAGTGTTGGCGAGGATGTGGGGAAAAAGGCACACTTATACATTGCTGGTGGGACTGCAAATTGGTGCACCCAATCTGGAAAGCAGTATGGAGATTCCTTGGAAAACTGGGAATGGAACCACCATTTAACCCAGCTATCCCTCTCCTCAATCTATACCCAAAGGACTTGAAAACAGTATACTACAGGGACACAGCCACATCAATGTTTATAGCAGCACCAATAGCTAAACTGTGGAGCCAACCTAGATGCCCTTCAGTAGATGAATGGATTAAAAAATGTGCCATATATACACAATGGAATGTTACTCAGCAATAAAAGGGAATAAAATCATGGCATTTGCAGGTAAATGGATGGAGTTAGAGAATATAATGCTAAGTGAAGTTAGCCAATTTCAAAAAACCAAAGGCCAAATATTTTCTTTGATATGAGGATGCTGAATCATAATGGCAATGGGTGGGTGGAGCATGGGAGAAATGGAGGAACTTTAGATAGGGCAAAGGGGAAGGAGGGCAAAGGAGGGAACAAGGGTAAAGGAATGATAGTGGAATGTTATGAAGTACATTTATGAAGACATGAATGGTGTGAAAATATTTGCATACAATCAGTGACTTGAAAAATCGTGCTTTATATATGCAATAGGAAATGAAATGCATTCTGCCATCATGTATAACAAATTAGAATAAATAAATAATTTAATTTTTAAGAAGTCTAGATAGTTGGGCTAAGGGTATAGGATTTAAAGGTGTTACAGGAGGACCTCTGGGGTCCTGGTAATGTACTTAGCCTGAATATTGGTTATAAGAATGTGTTCTCTTTGTCAAAATTCATGGAGTCATATACTTATGATTTGTGTACTTTCTGTATGAATGTTAGTTATGCTTCAAATGAAAATATTAACATATTTTTCATTGATAGTCATCATTGAGCTTTTCCTTTAGCAACTCTTGCTTTGAATTGTGTTAACAAGTCTATGTGATACTTTTTTAGATTCTCTCATGTCTAGACTGAACTACTTAAGTACTCTTGATATGTTACAATTTGGTCTCTTCCTCACATCAGAGAACACTTTGAAAGCCAAAAATTTAATCTCTCTCTGCTTTGGGAAAAGTTTGAGAGAATAGTGAGTTAAACTGAGGGAATTTGAGAGAAATTAGCTTTTCTCAGAATGATATAGGCTGAAATGAAAAGCTGGGACTAGACCATGATGAGAAAACTAGAGATTCTTTCCTAAACACTGTTTGGTATGACTGGGAGTCACCCAGTTTTCTGGAATGAAAGTGGGACAGAACATTTATCTAAGAAGTTAACCTCTTGCTAGTTACTGATGTTACCTAATAGTATCTTTGTTAGTAATCTGGGTCATAAGGCTTTAGTGAAAAAAGATATTTGGTAGAAATGACGCAGGACTCAAAGGAGGAACACCAAGCCTTCTGGTTAGTAATTATCAGCGGCTACAGTAACTTGATTAAAGAATAGGGGCACAAGATACATTCTGAAGAATAGAAGCATTTCTTCAGTTTCCTGAAATTTCATGGTAATTTCTCCCCCTTCCCTTTTACCCTTTAAATAGCTTTGAAAGATTAATTATATCTAATCCCTTAGTGGAAAATTCAGGACCCAGGAAAATTGACAGGAATGATTATGAATTAACATCTTGCTGTGTCTTCCTAAATGGCTAAGAAAGGGGATGGAGGATATTGGTATCCCCATAACATCATAATCCCTATTACTATGGTGTGGTTTCAGCATTTGGTTGCAAGTGACTTCTCATAACAAATATAAATTGTATGTACCTCACAGAATTGTAGTGAGGATGTGCTGCTATCTGTAACTGAAAATAGTATCTGTCCTTAGGGAGCATTCAATAAATAATAATAATAAAATATTAATAATCTATTATTTTGGTACTGGGGGATTGAACCCAGGGGCACCTAACCACTGAGATACACCCCCAGCCCTTTTATTTTGAGACAGGGTCTCACTAAGTTGCTTAGGATCTTGCTAAGATGCTGATGCTGACTTTGAACTTGTGATCCTCCTGCCTCAGCCCCCTGAGCCACTGGGATTATAGGCATATGCCACCACCTCCAGTTTACTAATCTTATTAGTAGGAGGCACATCACAGACTTTGTAAGTAAAAAGATATAGCAATAGACCAACTAGAGTTACTATTAGGTAAGAATAACTTTTTAGTATTATAAGGAATACTCACGCTGAATACAATTAAGAATATTAGCTCCATAGAAATGGAGCTCTGAAAGTAGTCTTGGCATCTTTTGTGCTCAATCTCCAACACTCTTAGGTGTGGAAGGAGAATATGATTCTCTTACTGGTAATTATCAGTCCTAGTGTTCAGGTCTGGAGCTACGCTAATGGTATGGCTTTGAGTTCCCTCCACTACCATGTTGAACAGTGGAATCGGTGGTCACATTGTAGAGAAGCTAAGAGTTGGCCCATTTGGCAGCAAACATCACCCAAAGTATAAGACGACTGCTCAGGGTAGTGACTCATTATATTTTCAAGCACTAACAAAGTGGGAATATTATTAAAATATTTGTTTCATAGGACTTACATAGAGAAATGAAGCAATTTTACTATAATTCTGAGGGTCCTTTGTGTAATTTAAGAATAAGAAATACTAGGAAGAACAGGAAATTGTGATGTCCAAGTATTACTACTGCCAGATTTAGTGACATTAGATAAACTAAGTTTAGAAAAAGGAAGTTCATGCTGATATACTTTTAAATCTTTTATTTTTGTATATTGTAAAGTTTAAGTTGGCCTTTAGATTCAATCTGGGCTTCTGATCTGTCTTTGAATATTACACTGCAAAATGACACTAGCAGCTTCTGAACAGAAAACAAATCACCTGTCAAACCTGATCCTATGTGAAATGCTTTGTCTCACGTAGGAGAGAATTCTTTGAACATATGACCTATGTATAAATGGTTAAGTTTCTGTGTTGGTCCATAATGGCACTGATGATAATAATAAACTCACCCCCAAATCTTATGCAAAGAACAATGCCTTTACTTTTTGCTAAATAGTGATTACATAATCACAAATTATCAATTTTCATGTATAATTCCAACTTATTGATATTATATCATTTGTCAAGGCTTAATAATTTTAACTTTTTAAAAAATTTAACTTTTTAAAAAGTTAACTGTCTTTACAAAGAAAGCAATTCAAATTAACCAACCATGCCCTACAACTAGAAATGATTCTGAGTAAGAATTAAAACAAAAGGAACTTTAAAAAAAAGTATTAATTCTTACCGACTCCAGAGGTTATTGATTCTGCATCAATATCACTAGCTTTTTTTCTTGCCACTTCAGCTAGTGCCAATTCACCCCTATCTAGGGCAAGGTAATGGATATCCTTTGGAAATAAAGTGAAATAAAAGATTAATCTTGGTTAAGTTACAAAGGAGATTTTGAAAAGAAGAAGCTTCCTGTTTAAATTACAAAATACATATGACCAATGAATATTCTTTTTTGTACTTATATTTCTGTTTTTCAGGGCAAACAAATTTTTCTTAATTAGAGATCAAAGTCACAACTAAAGGCTATTATTTAATCATTTCATCATTTAAGGGGAAAATACATGTTTTAATAAACTGACACACTCAGTTTTATTAGGGAATAAAAACACAAATATTTGGTTAGGATTTACTATATGAGGGAGATCTTTTACACCATGCTATTTTTTCTTTTTTAAGACAGGATCTTGGGCTGGGGTTGTGGCTCGGAGGTAAGAGTGCTTGCCTAGCATGTGTGAGGCACTGGGTTTGATCCTCAGCATCACATAAAGCAAAATAAAGATACTGTGTCCACCTCTAACTAAAACAAATATTAAAAAAAAAAGAGACAGGGTCTTGCTATGTTGCCCAGGCTGATAAAATCTTAGGCTCAAGTGATTCTCCTGCCTCAGCCTCCTGAGTAGCTGGAACTACAGGCGTGCTCTACCATGCCCAGTTCTGAGGGTGCTTCTTCACAATTTAATTGTATATTATATTATATTATATTATATTATGGCAACAACTACATGAGGAATATTATACACATTTTTTAATATATCTGGCACATATTTGTTAATATTATTAATACTACTACTATTATTTTTAACTCACCAGTCAACAAATTATTAGTACCTACTAAGTGTTGGGCACTGTTTGGGAATATACATCAGTTATAACAGATTGCTATAAATCAAAAGTTAATTACATAAAAGTGAAATTGATGTTAAAGCACATATTTGCACAGATTGTAGCCAGAGGAGGAACTGGTCCTTGATCCAAATCTTGAAGGATAAATAAGAACTATATTAGGAGGAGCCAGATCCTATGGCACACACCTATAATCCCAGCAATAAAGAAGACTGAGGAGGTGGATCCCAAGTTCAATGTGAGCCTTAGCAATTTATTGAGGTGCAACTTTACAAGATTCAGAGCCTCACACATGCTAGACAAGTGTCCCACCACTGAACCACAACCCCAGCTCTTAGTCCTATAATTTCATTTTTTTATTGATTGCTCAAAACATTACAATGATCTTGACATATCATATATCATACATTTGATTCAAATGGGGTATGAATTCTTATTTTTCCCATGTGTACAGATTGCAGGATCACATTGGTTATATAGCCATGTTTATACATACTGCCATACTAGTGTCTGTTGTATTCTTTTTAATGGCTGAGTAGAAGTCAAATTGTGTGTGTGCAACAATTTCTTAATCCATTCATCTACTGATTGGCATCTGTGTTAATTTTATAATTTATCTACTGTGAATTGTACTGCTATAATCATTGACATGGCTGTGCTGCTGTAGAATGCCCATTTTAGATCTTTGGGGAAAATACCCTGGAGTGGGATAGTAGGTCATATGGTGGTTCCATCCCTGTTTTTTAAAGGAATCTCCATACTGCTTTTCAGAATGGTTGTTCTAGTCCACAGTCCTACCAACAATATAAAAGTGTTCCTTTGTCCCCACAACCTCCCCAGCATTTATTATTGTTCGTATTCTTGATCATTGCCATTCTGATTGGAGTGAGATGAAATTTTAGTGTAGTTTTGATTTGCAAGAGATGTTGAACATTTTTTTCATATATTCATTGGTCTTTTGTGTTTGTTCTTTTGGTTTTTTTTGGTGTAAAGTTTTTTGAGTTCTTTGCCCATTGTGGATATTAATCCTATCTACTATCAGAGGGGTAGCTGTCCAAGATTGTCTCCCATTCTGTAAGCTCTCTCTTCATGTTCTTAATCATGTCCTTTGCTGTTCAGAAGCTTTTTAGTTTAATGACATCCCACTTATTAATTCTTGGTTTTATTTCTTGAGCTTTAGGGGTCTTGTTAAGAAAGTTGGTTCCAATACCTGTATGATGGAGTTTTTACCAAGTTTTCTTCTAGCAGTTGTAAAGTTTATGGTCTAATTCTTAAGTCTTTGATCCATTTTGATTTGATTTTTGTGCAGAGTTGCAGGGGAAAAGAAACATTTGTATATTGTTGGTGGGAATGCAGATTAGTATAACCATTCTAGAAAGTAGTATAATGATTTCCAAAAAAACTAGGGATGGAACCACATGACCTAACTATCCCAACTCCTGGGTATTTTCCCCAAAGATCTACATTTGGCATACTATAGCAATATAGCCACATCAATGTTTATAACAGCACAATTCATAATAGCTAAATTATGGAAACAACCCAGATGCCAGTCAATAGTGTTCTATTTAACATTAAAAAGAATGAAATTATGGCATTTGCCAGTAAATGAATTGAATTGAAGAATATCTATGCTAAGTGAAATTAACCAAACTCAAACTCAAAGGTTGAATGTTTTCTCTCATATGTGGAAGCTAGAGTAAAAAGGGGAAGGGAAAGATAAGATTACATAGTCAATCAAATACAAACTAATCAAGGAGTGAAAGAATACCTAGTAGTGCAGAGGTAGGAGAAGGGGAGAGGGGAGGAAGGACAAGAGGGAAAAGGGGGAATCATGAACCCAAATAGATGACCATGCATGTACAAGTTTGTCAGGATGAAACTAACTACTATGTATAATCACAAAGCTCTTTAAAAAAGATACATTACCTTATTTTTCAAATATATATAAATTGAAAAAAATGATTTTGGAGTTTATAGTTTTACAGATTTATTATGTACTATATCATAATTCAGTACATATATACAGTATAGAATGATCATATCATCAGAGTAGTTAATATTAAAGTTGGATAAATTTTTGAAAGTTAATACTCATTGATTACACAATTTTGGGAAAACAGTCTCATTTACTGGTAATATAAGTGGTCAAGATTTTATAGAGCAGAGGGAGGCAAACTATGGCCAATGGACCTTGTATATGTAGAGCCCTCAAGAATGATTTTTACATTTTGAAAATATTTGAAGAACTACATTACCCACTGGTATTGAACTTTGAATGGCCTTGGAATTCAGCTTTTGCTACAGACTTGAAAATGTTTCAAGCAAAAGTTACAAGGCAAAACAGTGCTTATATGTGAGTCTTACATGTAAAACATACTGTGATAAAGTCATTTCAATGACAACTAATGTTTGAACTGCAAATAATGTCAGGCCTTCACTGTCAAAAGTTTAAAAAGAAAAAAGTGATGTCTCCATTCCCAGCAATATATTTTCTAATTTTGAACTACAGCAGTGTTTTTCAGACCTCTATGCATGTGCAAAGTAAATTTCCATATTCCAAAATCCATTTAACTGTGCAATTGAGGAACTTTAATTGGAAGTGATTTGCAATGTAATGACATGCTAAAAGGCATTCTAGCCTTTTAGCTAATATAATTCTAAAAATGCCTTCCAATCTGTGACTATGTTCAATTAAAACCATATGCTCATAGATTGATATCAGTATTTTGCAGAAACTATGCACGAGGAAAGACATTTGTAAAGGTGAAATATGGGAAATATCATTGTAGATCAGCATTAACAAATGAACATTTTAATTGATTTGGATGATAGGAAACAATGTTATTCCTCTTAAAAGAATTCTGTTCTTCATAGTCACAGACCTTACTTAGAAAAAACTATACTCAGTATACTCAATTTTTATATTTTAAATCATATTAATAAAGATTTATGGAAATTTGATTTCTCTCTTATTTTATAAGTACCTACACAATAATCTTAGTTTTGCCTCTTGACCCACAGTTTATAATATTTGCTCTCTAGCCCTTTATAGAAAGAATCTGTATTTCAACAACATATTAGACTCTGAAATTCACAAATACTTGTAGGAAATCTTTTGGGGGAGGTGACTGGGGATTGAACAGGGGTGGGACACTTAACCACCAAGCCACTTCCCCAGCCCTTTTCATTTTTCATTTTGAGACAGGGTCTTACCAAGTTACTAAGGGCCTTGCTAAATTGCCGAGGCTGATCTCAAATTTGCAGTCCTCATGCCGTAACTTAAACATATGTTAACTGAAATAATCATGTGGGCTTTCCTTTTTTAATTCAAAAGTGGCATGATACTTTCAACACAGACCTTTATATTCATTGGACAAATTAGGAATAATCTAAAAATATACATTATTGTATTCAGCTAGCTAAAGTTTTAAGATTGCTGCATCTATATTCTTAACACATTTACATTCTTAAGAATATTCTATGACTTAGAGTTAGACTGCTCTCTAGCCCTTTACAGAAAGAACCCATATTTCAACTGGAATCAGGGTTATACTAGCCTTGTAAAATAAGTTGGGTTATTTTCTGTTTTTGGTTCACTAGTGAAATATGTCTTTGATTTTTCACTGAAAATAAGCGACACACATGTGATACATTTGAGAAAAAAATTACCAACCACTATTGAAGGACAAAAATTAACACTGATTAAAATATAGACAGACCAAGATGGTGGAACGAGATGGACATCATTACCCTAGGTATATGTATGACTGCACATATGGTGCTACTCCACATTGTGTACAACCAGAGAAATGAAAAGTTGTGCTTCATTTGTGTACAATGAATCAAAATGCATTCTGCTGTCATGTATAACTAATTAGAACAAATTAAAAAATACAAACAGACCTGCTTACAATTGGGAAGACTATGAATCATAAAGACATCAATTGTGGCCCCCAGATAATCTGTAAAATTCAATGGAATTCCAATCAAACCCCTTCAAGGTTTCTCATGGACCTTAACAAGTTGATCTTAAAATTTATGTCAAAACAAATAATGCAGTATATCGAAAACTTACTCATAATAAAGGCTAATATACAGGGATATAAATCAGAGAAAAAGAAACATACCCATACACATATGGTTTTATTTGTGGGCTATTAGTGTGAGTACTTTGTGTTCAGTAGTCTTGTAAATGTTGGATATAAGGTTA